AATTCATTCTAATTTTTGATCTAACGGAGTTATACGTGATCTGCTGGGCGTAAAATTTGCCATGTTATGCACTTGTAAGACGGAGACAACACGTGCGGGTGTCACGTGCTCTTAACAGTCATGATGTAAGTGTATAACAGCGGTTCTCAAGCTGTGTTCCGCGAGAGTAGTCTAGGGGCTCTGTGGCTCCCTGAGAAAGTGAGAATATTTGTATTAATTAAATAATTTGTATACATTTGTATTTTACAGAAAATAAGTTTGAGAACCGCTGGTATACAACATAAAATGCTGAACAGAATATAGAAATGAGCCAGGTATAACTAATAACAATTAATCAAAATTTAAAATGCGCGAAACACGAAGACTACATTGAGTTTATTTTTAAATAATAGTTCCAATTATTGTAATGTTGATAAGCACAAAGTTTTTTTAAATATAATTGATGATATCATTTGATGGACAGGTAATTATGTCACGATTTTTAACATCCTGATAAACTATATAAGACCATTATATTTTTAAAAAAACACGCCTACATTATAAAATATTCATCCTCTTCATGGATTAGAGATTAAAGGTGGAGGTTTTATTAGGTACTAATAATAATACAATTCGAACTTTAATAATACGTTCAACGCTCGAAAACTTATTATTACAGATTAATTACATTTAAATTAAAACAATCCAATTCATCACAATTGCCAATCATCAAACCAAAATTTAATTAACACTTAGATTTAGCATAAAATATACGTAATTAATTATTTTCTCTTGGTAAACCTAATGGCTCATGTTGTTGGGAATATAAATAACAATTTAAAAAAATTAAAAATGTTTAAATCTATATTTAAAAAAACGAAAATAACAGACGTACTAATATTAATCAAAATAAGATTTTGAAAATTATTACTAAATTAAAATAATCATGAGGCAAATTTATTGTGCATCATGACTATTATAGTCCATAATATTATACAATAATACGACAATAAATGCTGAAAACTAATAGGAATAATAAATACAATAATTAGTTCTATTAATATTTAAAAAGTAAATATTAATTAAAAGTTAAAAATTATAAGGTTTGAACTTAGTTAAATATTTTTCAGATCTCCAACTGTATATTTTTTTATTTATTTTGGTATATTGCATAAAGAACATTTTTTTTTTTT